TCTTAAAAATCTCTTCGGCGGTGTCGTGTGAGGCGGGTCGTTGCGTTCCCTAAAATATGGTTGAGCGAAGCGATGGCTGGTTCATGCGTCATGCTCGTGAACGGGTGCTGCCAGCGGAGATGAGTCTGCTCTATACTACTTTATTATTGTAATGATAATTATTATTAAATTTAGATTGTATTTTACATTACACAACTTGTATTTATACTGTATGACACAGCAATCAAATGTTAGTGAACATATATTATTTCTCTGATAAAGATTTTATGGCGGTGTGGATTCTGGTATGTTTTTCTAGACCTGAACTTGGTTTTGCAGCGGTGTATCCTTGTCATTCTCTATACAGACTGAAAAGGGGGGACTGATGTTGGATTTGGTTTTGGGTTGGGAGAGTATTGCCAGAGTCGACAACAGTGTTTAGGTAATCACATGCATGTGTCCTGCCGTTGTGTTTATAGTTTGTTATAATAATGTACACTGGTACCTATATATATATATATATATATATATATATATATATTTTCTATTTTTGTAACATAGTATCCATGTGTGGTTATGAGTAGTCATGCTCTCTTAAAAATCTCTTCGGTGGTGTCGTGTGAGGCGGGTCGTTGCGTTCCCTAAAAAATGGTTGAGCGAAGCGATGGCTGGTTCATGCGTCATGCTCGTGAACGGGTGCTGCCAGCGGAGATGAGTCTGCTCTTAATTCACTGGGTACTATTAATCGTTGTTCTAAACTTTAATCGTTCATTATTATTATTTTTTTTGCCTAAACGGTAGGACACGTCATTCCTAAACTTTGTTAAACCATTTTTTTTTACATATTTTTATTTTTTATTTTATAGTCATAATTTTTATATTATTTGCATTTTTTTTTGTTTGTAATGGAAAGTGACTTTATGAGTTACCTCATATTGAAGTCATTTTTCTCTTTAAGGAATGAAAAGGAGAGATTGATGTTAAATTTAGTTTTAAGTTTAGAGAATCACGCCAGAATTGGCACCAATAGTCTGATAAGACTACAAACCGGATTTGAGTAACGTAGCACTTCCAATTAATTAAATACATTTCTTTTTTTTTAAATCAGGTTTTGGTGAACATTTGGTTCACTGGTTTGCTAGTTAATATATAAACTATAATAAAATTATGGATTAAGGTCTTTTCATAAACTTCAATTGTAATTTTTTTTACTATGAAAAGATGGCCTTTTTGAGATGGGTCACTTTAGACATAAGTTGAGTTTTGTAATAAAATTTCAGAAAAAGTACTCGATGTTTAAAATACATCGATGTTTTCATCCGATACATCGAATGACATCGATGTATAGTTGCGATGTATCGAATCAAAAAATACATCGATGTTTTTTCAGAGTGGACACCCCTAATAACAGCCTAGACTGAATAAACGATATTGAATTTTGAATATTTTTCACTAAACCTTGGCAATAAAAAATAGTTTGGCCATAAAAAATAATTAGTGTTTTTTTGTATGAAACAAAACCTAAAGTACTAAATATCTCCCAGGAACTGTTTGACCGTGCCTTATAATGACTTAGGTTTACATAAGTGCATTGTGTTCTAGCATCCTAATCTATTTTTAGCTGCTCCAAACAGCAATTTTGCCTGTTAAACAGTTCGGAAAAAAATATTTTGACTAATCCTATTAAGGGATTATAATTACAATTCTATGAAAAACGTCGTTTAGGGTACTAGGAACTAATTACGTAGTTAAGACTAACTACGTAATTACATTAGTTAGTATCAGAATCTTTTAAGTGTCGCCGCACACGGGCTACACGCCACAGCGACGAACGCCGCCACGAGAAGCTAGAAGCGGCTACTAAAGTGGCTGAAGCGCGCGACAGCGGCCGACTAAGTGTCACCGCGCACGGGCCATACGCCACAGTTACAAACGTCGCCACGAGAAGCTAGAAGCGGCTACTAAAGTGGCCGAAGCGCGCGACAGTGGCCGACTAAGGTAAGGGAGAGAGGGGCGGGGAATCGCACGAGTGACGTGTGGCGGCGTTTTGTATCGGCGCATTAAGTGGCCGGTGCGGGCCACAAGAAGCGAGCAACGACGACTTGTAGCGTGTGGTGGCCACCGGCGTACCGTGTGTGGCGAGTCCATATAAAATGTATGAAAACTACAAGAAATATGCCGGTGGCGGCGTTTTGTGGTTGTGGTCGGTGGCCCGTGTGCGGCGACACTAAGGTAAGGGAGAGAGGGGTGGGGAATCACGCGAGTGACGTGTGGAGGCGTTTTGTATCGGCGCATTAAGTGACCGGTGCGGGCCACAAGAAGCGAGCAACGACGATTTGTAGTTTGTGGCAGCCACCGGCGTACCGTGTGTGGCGAGTCCATATAAAATGTATGAAAACTACAAGAAATAGGTATGCCGGTGGCGGCGTTTTGTGGTTGTGATCGGTGGCCCGTGTGCGGCGACACTAAAACCTTTTTTTGTTATCATCGGATGACTTTTAAGTAATAATGATGTCAAGTCATTAGGATATTAATAATTATGCGAATAAAGAGACAATGGTTTAGGGGTTGGGGGTAAGTAACCTGGAACTTTGTTATCATAATATAATTCATGTATTCATTTTAAAAAAAATGTTTGTGCAGTGAAAATTTATCAGTAACACTAAACTTGATTTGCGATCTATTACTTACGATTACAGTGGAGACCATTGTAAATATTTTAGATTTATTCGTAATCCTCAGGGAAACGTTAGAATCTTTGACAGACAGTGAAAACTTATATAATCATTTTATGCAGAGAATGGGACGGGAAGGAAACAGTGTTAAATTAAAAAAGTTTTGCCAGTGTTTTTGTGCTAATATTAATAGTAGGTGGACAAAATCCCATCCAACGGAGATTGGTTTAAAACCCCAATTAATTGACCACAAATTATAAATGAAGAAAATATTGAGCACAATATTGATCTAGTTATTGAAAATGTAGAAGAAATACCGTCAAGTATAGAGGAAAATATAGAAAATCTGCCACCATCTACAGAGAATGCTTCCACTTCTTCTTTTACCCCGAGGAAACCGTTTGAAGAACTAAGGTCGAAGCAGAAAAGAAGACGTGTAGTGCGTATAAGCGAATTTTATTCTCCAGAAGAATTAAACGCGGCTACAATACAATCATTGAAGACAAGTGGAAACGAAGAAATAAGTTTGATAATTAAGCATTTGGCAGAACATCCAGAAGACATTGCAAAATTGAGGAGCTGTTTAGATAGCAAGACTAGTAAAGATACAACATATTCTCCGATGCAAGCATTAGCTATACTAGTTTACCTAAAATTATCAAAGTGGCAATATATTAGGTTGAGAGAATCTGCCAGTCAAGAAGGATTGAAAAACGAAAAAAATACTTTTCCGGAAACAATATTTTTTTTGTTTCAACATTATTATGAGCCACTTAAAAATAATCATACGCAATTTTGCAAAGCCGACTGACTAGGTACCTTTGAGAGCCCCTTTAGTGCGATTTTATGAACGGGAAAATTGTAATCTCCTGCTATTTTCTTTTTTCGGCGAACCCGTTCTCTTGGACCTTTAAATCACATTCATAACAAATGATGAAAGTCGCCCTGCATAAATTTCTCGTCGCACTTGAGTTGAGCTCCTCGAGATGACGTTTTTAACATCTATTATGATAAATCTTAGGTTGCACTTGGAATCTCCATCGTTTTATTTTAACACATTTTATCCACGAAGCTTTTACCTTATTTGTTTATATAATAATACCAATCCACTCCTGCGTTGAACGGGTGAACTTTAATGCTATAAAAAAAAGCTAATGTTATTCAGGGATTTTGTGTCATTCTAAAGGTGAAACAAATTTTGAAATCGGTTTATTGGTCCGGTAGTTTTTGAATTTATTCGTTTCAAAATTATTAAATTAGTTATGGTATCACAAGCTTTCTCGCCACTGATTTGTAATAACAAACACTTGAGGGGTCTTGAATTAACACTGTTGATGAAACCATTCATTACTAAAGAAGAGCTTTTCTTATACAACTCGTACCGTCCCTCTTAAGTTAAGAGTAAATACAGACGAAGAAAGAATAGTGCGGAGAAGAAGCAGAAATGTGTCGCTCCAGCCATCCTCACCTTACCGACCTGAACCTAATACCCTACACCATTAATCCACACTTACCAACAAAAATATAACACCACTAAAACAAGGTGTTATTTTATTGTGGTTTTCTGCAAGATGGAGATAAATATTAATTGGGGCGCTCCAATTCGATTGCAAAATCCGCTATTTAATTTAACCTTTATTAATTTATTCATAAAATTAAAAATAAAACAGTCAGAAATACTTAGCTGTTAATAAGTTGCTATCAAAATCAGTAAAGTGCAGGATACCCAATCGAAAGTTACAATTTTAAGGGTACCTACGTCCATTCTGCCATACCTCTCTTGGTGTATCTGACTTACAATAATATACGAGTAAATTTTGATATGTGCGGACATTTCATTTCCTCTGTAAGAGAAACATTCATCGCGCGTCGCGTAAGTACGTATTCCTCATAAAAGTAACAATAACGGTACAATTCAAGTAGAGATATGCTCGCCGAATGCCTCCAGCATAACCTAAAAGGCGGTTTATAAAGTCACTGAAAACGTCACTTCCTTAGTTATTGTGCACAATATTACACACAAAATGAAATTGTGTTACAAAGAATATACGGCGCATGACGGAGACGGCACGCTCTGTATATTGAATAACGCGAGAGAAACGCGTCGGGCCACCCAAAATTCTGCTTAGCTCCCAATTTGTGAATGCTACGTGAATTCACCAAACTGATTTCGTATGATATTTTTGTAGAATCTGATTAGGGCCTAATAAGTTTATACTTCAGATATCGTTCTTCTTGATGACTTTTGTAACCAAGAAATGAGAAATCTGGATTTGGCAAGTCATCTATGCCCGGTTAGGTCAATGTAGAACAAATATTTTTTTTATTTGTCCTGTTGCGGGTCAGATCAGAGTATATTATGTAAAGTGAGTATAAGGCCCTGCGCCAAACCACGGGCGGGCACCCGCGGCGGGTGTTCGCTCGGTGCGCCCGCCACGCGCCAGCCACACGCAGCGGGCGCATGTCCCGTGCTCCCACCTCATTTTAGTGCCGTCAGTACATCTTTCGATTGGAGCGTGTACAGTTATATTTTATACAATACTGTACCGTCCGCCATGTGCGATCCGTCTGAAAACAGCGGCACGAGTACAACTATCCAGAACAAGACCGCGTAGGGCCGCCCGCGTCGTACGCCCGTTCCGTGCACCTCTCCGCGCGCCGCCCGTGTGAGCACCCGCTGCACGCGTCCGTGCCGTGTAGTGATGTTCATACTATTTTTTAAAACAGACACGCGAGCGTGCGCGTGCGCGAGGTTTAGCGCAGAGCCTTAACATATATAGATAAATAAAACAAGGAAAAGTAAATTAATTCTTTCGCCAAAAGACGATTTTGACTGAGAACGTTCTACGGCATGATGTTTCTGCTTTTTAATCATTGTGGTTATTATTAAATTTACACCTAAAAATTATTCAGTCTTAAAAAAATATACTTTTGAATCTCTGCCAAATAAGTGAATGCCAAATAAAGTTGATGCCATGATAAGCATAGTTGTAAAGTTCTGCGATACAAGATAGACTAAATAAAAATGCTTGCTTTTAGAAATAATGTAGTAATTAATATCTACGTTTACAAAAACGATGTATGATTAAAATAATGTGTACGCGTAGCGAATTGTTCGAAATATAGAAAGAAGTGAAGTTCAAATATTCTTTCTCAACCAAATCCTCAAAATTGAAAACACGTGAGTTCTTTTCAATATACTTTTTGTCTGCCCTACGTGACGTATCCTTGATATGAAAAGAACTATAACTTGATATAATACGATCGATGAATCGGTAGTCGGACGTATGATGGAAGCAAGTTTGATAGTTGAATTCTCTCTGTTATTTCCAATAATTCACGGGCTTTTGCGCCCGCGGGTTATTGCGTTGTATCCAGAGCTGGAGCTGGAGGGAGGAGGGTTCCGAACTCAACTTCTCTTTACAAAAATATTTGCATGCGATAAAAATTACTGTATTACTCTGACATTTTGTATTATGGTTAACTTGGACAAATATTAAATAGATCCTGAGTCAATTAAGTTACAGTTGTGAAGAAAGCTTGATAATATCTAGGTAGGTAGGTCAAAATCTTTTCTAAGGGTTCCGTATCTTCTGGTGATTTTATTACATTTGAGGAAAAAACTTAATGAAAAAAAAACGGCGTCTGTACTTAAATTAAAGTACAGACGCCGTTGGAGTTGGTAAAATATAGTACCATCTGGCGACACTCTACTTTACAGGAGTGTAATATCCTGCCATCTATTGAATATTAAAAATTCACTCTTATTTTTTCTAAAGCTTCAAAATACTTTATTACTTACTAAATGTAAAACTAACAACGTTTTCAGAAACATAATTCTAATCAAAAATAGACCAGCTTCACTTTTCCAAGTGACAATCCCTTACTATCTTCTATTTGATAAAAAATGCTATGCAATAGCTTTACCGCCGAGTCCCCGAGTGCCACATGTATTTTATTTTAATTCCTCAGGAAAAAAAAGGGTAAGTAGAAAGCAAAAGAACAGTACGGAATATATATATTTACAAATAAAAAAAGGTTAATTTAAAAAATCAAAAACCCGACTGCTTTATAATTATACTTCAAATAAAAACTGAAAAGAAAAAAACAAGTCCAGTAGTCTATAATTCTGTTAATACGGAACAAAGCTACTTTAACAGTCGGGACCAAGAATACATAATATTTTTCAATAATGGGTCAAGATTTGTATGCTTGTAACAAATAATATGTCAAACTACTGAACCGGTTTCAAATATTAATTCATCATAAGGTAGCTACATTAATTATTATTACATTTTTCTTAATTTAAATACATTTTGTCCGAGTGACATAGGCTATATTTTATCCCGATAAAATAATTTTCACCCGTACAATGCCGGGGTGGATCACTAGTAAGTATAATATAATATTATAGATGCGAAAGTGAGTTTGTTTATTGCGCTTCAGTGCCCTAATAGCTAAATCGATTATAATGAATTCCCCTATAGAAGTAGATGGGAACTTGGTTCTTAGCTACAACAACACAATACTTATAGGCGTACGGTGATTTACATATAAAACTCTATACTATTTACTTTGAATTTTGCAGAATTACCTCTTATCTATTAGACAAGTCCGTCCGTCCGTCCGTCTGTGGTGCTGTTTCAGCGGCCAAACCGTAAGAGATAGATAAAGAGAATGTTTAAGTTATAAGTTAAGAATAGTCTGATAAGACTACAAACCGGATTTGAGTAACGTAGCACTTCCGGTTTTCGAGAAATCACGAATTTCAAACGAAACCACGCAAAATCTCCGAAGTTCTCAATTAATTAAATACATTTTTTTAAATCAGGTTTTGGTGAACATTTGGTTCACTGGTTTGCTAGTCTCTTATCTATTAGACAAGTCCGTCTGTCCGTCTGTGGTGCTGTTTCAGCGGCCAAACCGTAAGAGATAGATAAAAGAGAATGTTTAAGTTATAAGTTAAGAATAGTCTGATAAGATTACAAACCGGATTTGAGTAACGTAGCACTTCCGGTTTTCGAGAAATCAGGAATTTCAAACGAAACCACACAAAATCTCCGAAGTTCTCAATTAATTAAATACATTTTTTTTTAAATCAGGTTTTGGTGAACATTTGGTTCACTGGTTTGCTAGTCGTTTATAATTACAAAACCAATATCATTGCGAGCTGATTAATAAATACAGGGATTCCAATAAGTATGTACCTACTAGCAAGAAATTGTCATTATATTAAGTAACCCTTTATTTGTAACATTAAGTAATATCGTTAAAAAACATTTCAATAGATGGCAGGATATTACACTCCTGTAAAGTAGAGTGTCGCCAGATGGTACTATATTTTACCAACTCCCGTCGTTACGTAAGCTAAGTACAGACGCCGTTTTTTTTTTCATTAAGTTTTTTCCTCAAATATAATAGAATCACCTGAAGATACGGAAGCCTTAACTTTTTAAATATTTGTCGAAATGACAAAGTATAAAAGGCAAAGTTTATTGTCTTTAAATATCAAAAGCGATAAAAGTATTTGTTTTGATAAAAAATAATTTGTCAATACAAAATGTGCATTTTGGAAATAGATATCAAATAATATTTTAGTTTTGATTCACTATTTCAGCGATAATGGCTTACACATTACAAATAGATATATGGTGTCACGGAGTTTTTTGTAGAACTATTTAAGAGATACATTTTCACTCTACATTACATTTATGTAACTTTTATTGTTTTTGCAGTGCAGGCCAAAATGGCTCGCAGATGGGAGATTTTTCCGTCTTATGTGTCACTTATTGTTATATTTTGGCCAATTCACTCAATAACTACATAAATGATTATATATATGTTATTATCATATATGAGCTATATTACTGTTAAGTTTCATTAAAATCCATTCAGTATTTTTAGGTGAAAGAGTAACAAAGATCCATACAAACGTAAGATTGAAATTAAAAGCGCAAGTGGTTAATATACAACTTTAAAGCGTTGTAGATCCTAAACAATCATATAAAATGAAAAATAGTGTAAGGAACCTAAACATGATTTTCGATTATCTAGACAATGATACCCCACTCGACATATTTTGTCAACTTATTTTTTTTACTTCGTCACAATATGGCGCCTAATTTTCCTCATATTGAATTTTGATTACTATCATATCTTTAGTAGCACTCCCATGATTGAGACGAATTGATTGATGTATGAATCATCAAAATCGGTCCAGGCGTTTGGTCTCTAGTGTGCCACAAAGGAACAAACATACATATACAGGGCGTCCCACGGCTATCTCACACGGAGGGAAAGTATATTAAATATTAAAGATATTTTACCGAAAGATTCATTTCATTTTTGATAATAACTAAAACTGCATTCACATCGACTGCTACAACTGGGAATCAAACTCGTGAAATATCGAAAAAAAAATTACGACATATTTTATGATAACCATTTATTTATTTATTTATTTACTATAAATAACACCAACATAAGTTACAGCAGTTCTTGGTACAAACAAAGCTCAAATTGCTTATAGCTTACTGCACTTACAATTAAGGTAGCCACAGCATGCGTTAAAAAACAAAACACAAAATAAGCAGGCACACAGATACATAAAAACAGCATAAAAAAAAACTACAAGCATAAGCGGCTAAAGGGCGTCAGCCCTTTTAAGCAGTGTCATAAACTCAGAATAGCTCTGAAAATGCATATCTAGCTCTGGCAACTCTTTGGCGATATCGTTGTATAGACGAGCCAAGCGGACAACCGATGCACAGCCACCCATCCTCGTTCGACAGAATCTGCTCCTGAACAATCCACAGGGGTATCTCGGTAATCTTGAAGGAACATAGTAAACGAAATTACTGACCAGTACAGGACTATCTATAATATTATTCAGGAGTTTGTACAGGAAGGACATATCAAGGTGGCAACGACGTATAGAGAGCGGATTCAGGCCAAAATATCTTAATCTCTCTGTATACGATCTATGTTTTCTGGGAGTCCTAAAGCGGTAAGCTAAGCTACGAAGTAGTTTTTTCTGTACTCTTTCAATCCGGTTTATACAAACCTTGTAATCAGGGCACCAGACCGTACTGCAGTATTCTAGCTTACTTCTCACGTAACTATTATAAAGCAGAATGACAGATGAAGGTTTTTTGAAGTTCTTTGTATTTCGAACAATAAATCCTAGTGATTTATTTGCCTCCTTTACTATTTTATCAATGTGATCCGAAAAACTCAGTTTTGAATCAATTATGACACCGAGGTCTCTGATGGTAGTAACTTCTTTGATTCTCTCACCCGCTATTGTATATGTAGTTATATGTTTATTATGTTTCCTGGTAAACTTTATATGGTGGCACTTTGAAATATTGAAGAGCATTTTATTGTTATTGCACCATTCTTGGAGGCTGTCAATGTCTTCCTGTAAGTATACTGAGTCGTCCGTACATGAAATTCCCTTTGTCAACTTCAGATCATCAGCGAATAGGTATACCTTACTATGTTTAATACCCGTTGTAATATCATTGATAAAAACGTTGAAAAACATTGGACCCAGAACAGAGCCTTGTGGAACACCTGAAGTTGCAAAAAAAGGTTCAGACCTTTCATTGTCCAC